GCTGTGAGCTCACTCGCCCCGCCCACCGCCCTCATTAGCATGCCGCTGCCCCGCCCCCTCGCTTGCCTCTGGGCTTCCCCGCCTTCCCCGGAGCAGGGACGTGAAGGTGCCTTTATTTGCATGAGAAATGCTCACTCTCGATTTGCATGGTGGTGCACCGCCCCTTCATGTGCATACATTTTGCATACCCCCCCGCCGCCGCCGCCGCCGTTCAGCGGCAGGGAAAGTGGCCGAGCTCGGGCTGCAAGGACTCCCGGGAGCTTTTTATTTACATAATAAATACACGCCCCCTCATTTCCATAAAACAGGCCCGCCCCGCCTTCCTCAGTAGCAGGGAAGTGGCCGCGCGCGCAGCTTGTCAAGTCCCCGAGTGCCCTTATTTGCATAACATATGCAGGCCGCGCCCACATCCTCCGCCCCACAGCCTTTCCGGCCAAATAGAGTCCTTCCTCATTAGCATAAAGCCTGCCGGCCGCTGCCTATTGGACAACAGCGGCGCCCTCTTTTGCTTGATACTGCCAGCGGGGTCGTAGCGGCAGGATCGCCGGAATTCCATAATTTGAATAATATATGCGGATCACGCCCACGAAGTTCCGCAGGGGCGCGACGGAATTCCCCTGTATTAGCATAATATATGCCCCGCCCCCTCACTGGATGCCGGCCCCAGAAACCAAGAGTTCGATTATTTATACAGGCCACGCCCACAGCTTCATTTGCTGCCTTTTGCATCATTTGCATAATACGTAAAGGCCACGCCCCAAGAGCCAGCCCAGAACCTTGCCGCAAATAGGCTCGCCTAATTAGCCTCATGCCCCCTGCTGCCCCCTGGGTAAAACCTGCTCACCCGGGCATTTCAGCAGCAGGCCACGCCCCTTATTAGCATATCATATGCAAATCTATCATGCAGATATAATGTACTTAGATCTTCAGAAAGCCTTTGACAAGGTCCCTGCCCAGAGGCTCTGAAGCAAAGGGCGCTGCCATGGGATAAGGGGAAGATGGTCCCACAGGTCGGGAACTGGTTAAGAGACAGGGAACGAAGGGTAGGTCCATTTTCAGAATGGGGAGCGATAGATAGTGGGGTTCCCCAGGGGTCTGTACTGGGCACAGTCCTTCAACCTATTCATAAATGAGCTGGAAAAAGGGGTCAACATTGTGGGGGGGGCGAATTTTGCAGCTGATAGAAAACTGCTGACGAGGCAGACTGCGAAGAGCTACAAAGGGATCTCATTAAATGGGGTGACCGGGCAACACAATGGCAGATGCAATTCAGCATTGATCAATGCAAAGTGATGCCCATTGGAAAGCATGATCCCAACTATACATCTACGACGATGGGGTCTAAAGGAAGTGTTCCCACTCGAGAGAGAGGTCTCGGCGTCACTGTGGAGAGTTCTCTGAAAACATCCCCTCAATGTGCAGTGGTGTCAAAAAAGCGAACAGCATGTTGGGAATCATTAAGAAAGGGATAGAGAATAAGACAGAAAATATCATATTGCCTCTGTATAAACCCATGGGACGCCCACACCTTGAATACTGCGTGCAGATGTGGTCGCCCCATCTCAAAAAAGATCTAGTGGAATTGGAAAAGGTTCAGAAAAGGGCAACAAAAATGATGAGGGGTCTGGAACGGCTTCCGTATGAGGAGAGATGAATGAGTCTGGGACTTTTCAGCTTGGAAAAGAGACGGCAAAGGGGAGATATGATTGAGGTCTATAAAATCATGACTGGTGTGGAGAAAGTAGTTAAGGAAGTGTTGTTTATTACTTCTCATAACACAAGAACTAGGGGTCACCCAATGAAAGTAACAGGCAGCAGGATTAAAACAAACCAAAGGACGTATTTCTTCACACAACACAGAGTCAACCTGTGGAACTCCTTGCCAGAGGGTGTTGTGACGGCCAAGACCATAACGGGGGTCAAAAAAGAACTAGATAAATTCATGGGAGACAGGTCCATCAATGGCTATTAGCCAGGCTGGGCGGGGATGGTGTCCCAGCCTCTGTTTGCCAGGAGCTGGGAATGGGCGACAGGGGATGGATCACTTGATGATTCCCTGGTCTGTTCATTCCCTTGGGGGCACCTGGCCTTGGCCGCGGTCGGCAGACAGGCCGCTGGGCTGGATGGACCCTTGGTCTGACGCTGTCTGGCCGTTCTCATGTTCTGATGTAACAACTGGCTCAATAGCATCATAAATGCCCCTCCCAGCGGAAGAACAGATTATACAGCCAACTGCCTCTGCTCACCTCATTAGCATAAAATAGTCACGCAAAGCAGTTCATTAGCATAAGACCTCCTGGACCCGACTCAGCCCACACTGAATTGTGCCCAGCCTAAACCTCCCTCAACATGCCATCAGGGTCGGGACCCAGGAGTTCTGGCTCCCAGCCCGCCGCCCTCGCCCAACCAGCCAACCCCACCCCCCTCCTAGAGCCAGGCGAGAACCCAGGCGTCCTGGCTCCCAGCCTCACGCCCACCCCTCTCCTAGAGCCAGGAGAGAACCCAGGCGTCCTGGCTCCCAGCCCCGTGCCTACCCCCTGCCTAGAGCCAGGAGAGAACCCA